CAGGCGCTTCTTCGAAGTGGGAAGAGTGAGTGCCAAGCGTGCGCGCCGAAGAGCATAATCTGAATCCAGGCATGAACTCCACATTGACGGACAATCTTGGAATGAGGTGCGCCACCTTTGGCTGGTGGCAATATTGTCAATTTGAGGAATTCGGTGGACACCATGTCATCATCATCATCATACACGTTAGCTAGAGGTGGGGAACACCTCAGCTACTGTGCCGCAATACACAGAAAAAAGGAGAAATAAATGTAACTGGTGCAAGCTGGCTGAGCTACCGGTAACGGATGGGCATCGTTCCGGTAAGCTACCAGCCGGCTGCTGTGCACCCAAAAAATTACTATGCAGAATTATATAAGGCTAAGTAATGAGATCGTGGTTGGAGGGGGAGGCTAAGAGGGATGGGGTGGGACAAAGAAACTCACAGCACGAACGCCACTAAGGTCGGCTCCCAGCCATATCAGCAAGTGTGTCCAACCAAACGTGTTCATCGTCTTTCGGACCCCAACCAGAGAGCCGAGACGCTCCAACCGAGGCCAGCTCAGAAGTGAGCGCCTTCATTCCTCTGGACCAAGTCATCTCTTGGCCACCCCTCCTCTTCTTCCATCCACGCCCCCGCGCGCAAACAACACACGTCGCGGAAGTCAGTGGGCTGGTATGCTAACACGTGGCCGAGCCATCGGAGCTTGATGCTTGAAATAACGGTGCTGATTGGTTCATTTCCTTTTCCTGTGCCATAAACAAGGCGTCGAACACGCTCGTTGCTCACGCGGTGTTCCCACCAAATGTGAGCTAAATTACGAAGGCACCGGTGGTCGAACGTAATTAGCCTCTTGAGGTCCGCTGCTTTAAGCGGCCAGGTTTCACAACCGTACAGTAGGGTCGAACGTACTGCTGCATTGTACACTCTACCCTTCAGTGTGAGAGTGATGTCGCGCCGGCGCCATAAGTGGCGAAGGTTAGCAAAAACGCCCCGATCTTTTGCTATACGATTCGTGATTTCATCTTCGATCCCAACGGCGCTGATGCAACTTCCCAGGTAATTGAATTTCTGAACGACTTCTAGCTGATCCCCACCAAGGGTCAGCGTGGGAGGCGGTCCAGACGAATCTTGGAGAAACGCTTTGCACTTCGAGGGTGCGAAACAAAGCCCGAAGTGACGGACAGCTAGTGCTAATCTGTCCAGTGCCGCTTGGCACATTTGTGAGTTGTCACAGATCATGGCAATATCATCAGCATACTCTAAGTCAAGAAGTCGTTCTCCTGGGAGTAGCTCCACACCTTCTAAGTCGTGTTCTGTGAACGAGATTTCCATGACTTCGTCAACAGCGAAGTTGAAGAGGAAAGGTGACAGCGGGCATCCTTGTCTCACACCGCTGGAGATATTAAAGGGCGACGACACCTTGCCGTAAGCCCTCACTCTGCCCGTGCTACGCGCATATAATGCTCGGATAATATTCACATATTTCTCAGGTACACCTTTCCTGAGTAGACAGTCCCAAAGTGCATGTCTATCCACCGAATCGAAGGCACCTTTGATATCGAGGAACACGACAACGGTGGTTCGCCAATATATGTGACGGTGCTCCAACAACTGACGCAAGGTGAAGATGTGGTCAATGCAGCCACGACCTCGACGAAATCCAGCTTGCTCTTCACGAATATGGCTTTCACGAGTGCCAGTCACTCTGTGAAGGATGACAGAGGCAATCAATTTGGAGGCGATGGAGATCAGACTGATTCCTCTATGGTGGTCGCATTCCCATCGTGAGCCTCCTTTGAAAATTGGGACTATGATGGAGCGGCTCCAATCGGTTGGGACAGTTTCGTACTCCCATATTTTGTCTAGTAACTTTTGTAAATCATCCACAATAGCAAGTCCCCGAATTTGAAGAGGGCTGGAGGAAGATCATCAGGTCCCGGGGCTTTATTGAACTTCAACAGTTCGATCTCACGTTCGACTTCTGTGCGAGAGAGTGGATCCAAAGGGACAGCCCAGGGAGTGGGGCGATCAGTGGCCAGTGAGAAATCTCGCCCTTCCGACCGATTAAATTGCTTTTCAGAGTGCTCAGCCCAACGCTTCAAGCGTTTCGACAAGTTGTGGATAGGCTACGCACTTTCGTCACGTATGGTTTCACTAACACCAGGTCTCCTGCTGCTCGTTTCCCGTATCAGACTGAATAACTTACGATGGTTACCAAGGGCAGCAGCCATTTCCATCTCTGTTGCACGACGAGACCACCAGGCTTCGCGGTCTCCCTTCAGGCTAGCACGGAGTTTCGCCCGGAACACTTTGCGAGTTTCATTGTGTTCGCTTCCAGCCGGAATATGCCGGCGAGCATCTATATAAGTTCCAGAGACTGTGAAGAGACCCAATGTTCATGTTGGCGATTAAACTTACCACATGAGGATTTGCCTGCTGCTAGTAAGACCTGTTGAATATGAGACCAGTGAGCTTCAATTGCATCCAGTGAGCGTTTATCCAACTCGGATGACAGCGTAATTTGATAGGCGTTCATAACAGCTGGCTTCACCAGTCTGCCGGTGTCAGTGCGCTCACAACATCGTCTTGGGGGTCCGCCAAAGCGCATCCGCAGGTCAGCACATACAAGGGCATGATCGGTGTCCACACACGTCCTCCAAATCGAGCGACAGTTCTGGACGCAGCCTCTCCAACGGTAACTTATCGTAATGTGATCGATTTGCGTCCATAGCTGGTTCGAGGCTGGTGGGCGCCAAGTCACCCTCCGGCGGGTGCTGTGTCGGAAATTAGTGCTCGCAAGAAATAAGCGAGCTTCCTCACACAAATGAAGTAACCGCTCACCGTTATCATTACGGGAGCCTATACCATGTTGGCCGCCCAGATGCAGCTCATCTGTGGATAATTTTCCAACTTGAGCGTTCAGATCCCCGGCCAGCACTACAATGTCCGAGCTTCTTCTGTGGCGAAGGAGTTCGTTCAGTTGGCGATAGAAGTCGTCTTTTAACGAGCCATCGCTACTGTTTGTCGGTGCATAGGCAGCGATAACGAATAGACACCTATTAGTCCCATGCGACTTCGACGTTTTGAACGAACAACATGGTGTCCACGTTCGTGGGCACCATGTGACACGATGTGAACGTTTGTGCTGGAAGCCAGTGCTGCTATAAAGATTGTGGTCGGCACACAGTTGCAGGAACCAATCACCATTGTTTGTTCGGCATGCATCGACTCCGAAGCGCCTTCGCAGATGCTGTTCAGAATATGAAAGATGACCCACTTGGGCATTTAAGTCAGTAGCAACAATCCCGATGTCGATATTCTTTGTCATGCAAAGGGAATGCACTGTTACTCACTCGCTCTCACAGGTGCAGAGCTGTGGAACCGTATGGAACCTCTTAGGCCGAATCGATATCTGCAGGAACACACTCGCTTACTAATTTACACTGGTACATCTTTTTCCTGTTTTTGCCATTCATTTTTCCTTTTATTTTTTTATTCTGGAGCCTTAGTGATATACTTCCTGATTGTCACCGCTCGGTTCACCAATTGCTTTAGAGATTACGGCGGATCTCCGTTCTCAGACACTGACTACCCGCTTTCTTTCGATTCTGTGCTATCAGTTCGCACGGATGTTTTTGACTTATGTGTGCCATATGCGGTCATATTACCCACCCTGACCGAATCCGGCTGAACATTTTCTTGTTATACCTTTCTGTTTCTGTATACTCACAGATGGTCAGAGGCAGTTTCAAGCTTGGACCCCACTTCGTATGCAAAGCCGGATCAGGACAGTCATCGTGTTAGTCGAATCGAGTCTCGCCGGTTAAAGAAACAGGCGTTTCTAGTTAGTGCATTTTTGTCTACGTTCACTTGCCCAACTGAAATTTAATGCGATGTACAAACTTGTGATTTTCGTTCCCACTATGGTGTTATCCCGACATAACTTCGTTTTTCTTGTTATCCGTGAACCCGTTACCATGACATTCAGTCATTGCTCGGTTGTTTTTTCGATTTTTTCTTTGCTGTAAATCAACTCTTAGCTTGTTACTTTGATCTGCTGATTTTGCGCCACGTTAGGCTGTTTTTTATTTTCTACTTCATAAGACCGTGTCCTGACTGAATTGCGTTACCAAGCGGGGTTGCCATAAGTCTTGCAGCATCGTGTCATGCAACAATTGTGTCAAAACTACGAATCATCGTTCTGCCTGCCGATCTTTCCGAGTGTTGGTATTTAACGCCATGTGGCTTCCTAACGGAGTGGATCGCAAATGACTCATCTCACACTACACGAAATGTAAGTACGAGTGCGGGCAGATATGAACAAGAATATTTCAGTGGACAATTGCGCAACACCTGGATGACCGTTTGATAATTATGAAGAACACAAAACAGATTCCAGAAGGAATGAACGATAAGCGAACCAACGAGTTACGAAGGGAGTTTGTTCAACAGTTTCTCCCACTTGAGTGATTAGGCTTTCTCTATGTGGATTGACGAAACAAATTTCAACGTTTACTACAAACGTATTCGTGGTCGGGTGCCCAGAGGATTGAGGGTCTGTTTCAAACTAGTCAACAGTAGTGGCCTCAATTTGCATTTGATCGGTGCTCATTCACTGACCCCCTATCTCTCGAATAGAGACAAAGCAATTTATACACGCTGTAGCGGGAGGTTGAACCCTGGCAGGTTGTGATAATGCATTATGTCACGCACGTTTGGAAGAACTTTCGTCAGTAGAGGGATATGAAAGCGTAACCATTCTGTGATTGAACCCATACTTCCCGTTCTTCAACCCTATCGAAGTTGTTTGGCTAGTGGTAAGGGCCCGAATGAAGAGTGAAATGAGACTGCACTACTAGGAACTTCTGGTCGGGGATCCCCAGCGCTTCCTGATGCAGATGGAATGGGGATTGCAGTTTCTTGAACGCATTGCCAGAGCGGCAACTAGTGATATCACTGTTGTGGAATGCCTTAATGCGATTCGACATATCCGTATACATTTTCATAATTGTATAGAAAATATGACATGTTTTGGTCACATTGCTGGCTCATTTTTTATATATCTGGTGGTATAACACATACCACTGGATACGAGTAGAGACACGAGGAAATTCACAGTCTCGTCAAAATATGTATGCATGTACATGCATTCTTACGGGTGTTGAAGCGATATCCGGTCTCAATGAGCCATATCCGATTGATATTTTCAGCCTATGTTCTACTTCGTGCTTGTATCCGTCTCACCTAACTCATTCATGATCAAACTTAAGTAATGTAGATAGGGTTGCTTTATTTGAAAGACAAGGATGTCTGGAAAGCGAATTGCCAAAATACTGAGAGTTATGTGCACTCTTCAAGTAGATGCATCAACAAATCCACGAAGTATGGCTTTACCAGCAATAAGTGAAATTGAAACTGTCATGTAGCCCTCCGTGAATCAAAAACCAAACTCTAGACCTCGATCAGAAATCTGTTATTCATAGAACATAAGCTCATTTTATATCTCGAATCAGTTAGCACTACTCACAGATGTTGATCACATCTCCTTGCTATTACCTTCTTGGCCAGCGTTCGAGCTTAGTCCATGTCGATATAAATCGATTGCATACTATTCTTCAGTTCGCCTTTCCAGCGATAGACCGGCTTTCAGACTGTTGTTCAAAATCGTTAAGCTCGATCGCTCGATAAACAAGTGGCATTCTCAGGGTGGCATCTTACCACCACATCCTTCTTTTTTCATTTTTTTCATAGTTCTTGTGTTGCAGTTTCCATATCCTCTTTCACTGCGGGCGAGCTTTCGGTTTGCTTTGTGATTGAATAGAAGCTGACTCTGATAAGTCGATTATTTGTCTTCTTGAAAGCCTTCACCACTGCCTTCCCTTTCGGAAGGACATGCTTGGCCCCGAAGGACACGACGTCCACTGATAGTAGCCCAGTAGCATAAGCGCTTGACTGGCGCTGTAAGCCGCTGGTGCTCAGATTCGAATCCTGCTGGGTGCGATGATGCGCACTACTGGTGATGCATAACAAGTTGAAACTGCAGTCGAGTACTTTTCCGGACATGCAGAGGACTATCTGATTTGGAAGCTTGTGCAGCGAACTCTCGATTAGGATATATATATACAGTCGATTCCGGTTAATAGGACCACCGGTTAATAGGACCAGCCGCTTATTCGGGCCAAATTCTGAAGAACCGAAACGAATCCTATTACGCTAGCCTAATTTTAGCCGCTTATTAGGACCGGAATTCCGCTTTATCGGACCAGACGATAGAAGGTGGCAGGTAACAGAGGTGTTAAAATCAAGTTCTGTGCCTGGATGTCTGGACTAAACGCACAGTTCATATGTCGGGGAAGAAAGCGTATCATTCAGTTACGGTAATCCGAGTTGGCCTTTGGATAAACTGAACTGTGGCAACCTTGAGGCACATCTATCTAATTGGCTTCAGAACCGCCCGGAACTGACTGTAGTTTCCAACACTTGTAGGCGGAACGAAGACATACATGCTTGTTCACATGTCGTTAACCGCTCGATCGATGTACCGCACGTCCATTGAGCCGAATGCCCTGAGCCCGCATTGCGGGCCTACTCTCGAGCACGGGAAGTGATCGCGGACATACAGGTCCGGCAAATCATAGGACAGCAGGTGGCTAGGTCAACCATAGAAATACCCGGGAGACAGACTCGAGTTCACCTCAGTGAACTGTGCGTGTCTTGTTGCATGTTAAGAAAATGCCACGACGGGACTTGACGTTAGCTGAGAAGATTCGTTTCCTAGATCAGATCAAGAAACAGGGACCAACCACTAGTCAGCGTCGATTGGTGGAAATTACTTGCTTGGCAAAATCTACAATATCGCGCCTGATAAAACAAGAGAAAGATCTGCGAGAAGAATGGGCACAATGTGAAGGAGAACGAGGTACTTCCCAAAAACGAAAGCGTGAAGGCAAGGATCCAGACGTCGATGAGGCCCTTAATGATTGGTTTGCCTTTGTTACTGGACGAGCCGTGAGAGTAAGTGGCCCAATGTTAAAGTACAAAGCAGAAGAACTCGCTAAAATGCTGGGCCACGAAGATTTTATAGCTACGGACGGCTGGTTGTCTCGATGGAAATCTAGACATGATGTAAAATTGAAGAAAGCACTAGGTGCGAAAGAAAGTGCCAATAGCGCTCGAGCTGAAGAATGGAAATCAACAAAACTACCAGAGCTTCTTGAAAAATTTCCAGCAGATGACATCTATAATGCTGATGAAACCGGGTTGTACTATAGGGCTACACCGGACGGCTCCTTAAATTACAAACATGTTACTCTCTCTGGCTGCAAAAAAGCAATGGTTCGCGTAACTGTCTTGTGCTGCTCAAACATGTCCGGAACAGACAAGAGGGAGTTGCTGGTTATAGGAAAATGTGCCAAGCTTCGCTGCTTTAAGGGACTCAGAATGGACAGTTTACCAGTTGTGTATCGTGCGAACAGAAATGCATGGATGAGCTCCGCACTTTTTAAAGAATGGGTGAAGGATTGGGACACAGAGCTACAACGCCAGTCGAGAAAAGTGTTATTACTTCTCGACAATTGTGCAGCACATTCAAATTTGGATTCCTTGAAGAATATCCAGATGGAATTTCAGCCTCCCAAGACCACATCTTTGATACAGCCAATGGACATGGGCATCATAACAAATTTGAAGACCTTTTATCCTTCAAGGTTGGTGAATTACATCCTTGAATCAATTGAGGAAGGCTTACTGACCTCATCCTTGACGGCCGGAGAAATCAGTGCAAAGGTCAACATTTTGCAAGCCGTTACATTCGTGGCCGAAAGTTGGCGAAAAATGAGCAGTGCGACAATTCGGAACTGTTTTTCTCACTGTGGCTTTAAGCATATTGTCTCGGAGATGGATGTGGATATGGTGATTGTAAATGAAAATGGAGAGAATGTGGAGCTGAAACAGGTTGAAAATTACGAAGAATTTTTGTCAGTCGACAACCAACTTCAACTCTATGATGGAAATGAAGAATGCGATGTTGCCATTAATGCTCGAATAGCAGCGAAACACACGACAGCAACAGAAGATCATGGAAGTGATAAAGAGAACCCTAACGTGTTGATGCCGGTCACAAAACAGGATGCAAGGAAATGCATTGAAACCTTGCATCGCTATTTCATGCAGGAAGGAAATGAAGGTAGTCCTGTTACTGCGTTACATGTTTGTGGTGATTTTGTGCGAATGCAGTCTGTTAAAAGAATGCGTAAAACCACACTGGATACGGTCTTCAAACGCTGAATGGAATTCGGTAATCCCTTTGTATAAAACTGTACTTCGCATGCTGAATATCTTGTAGGTCGTTACAAAGAATTTGTTTGTAAATTTCTTTTTCAGTGAACAAAGTTCGTTATCAAAGCAGTTCTTTTTTGTGTGTTTGCTATAAATATATGCCGCCAATACAGGTCATAATAGTAGTTTCCTAAGTTATGTATAGCACGTCCCAGCTTGTTACATCGGGTAACTTCGGTTAATCGGACCAGCCGCTTAATAGGACCAAAATGGTCTGGTCCCAATGTGGTCCGATTAACCGGAATCGACTGTATATATATATATATATATATATATATATATATATATATATATATATATATATATATGTTGAACCTGATGTAGCACTCATGATGCTTCTTCACCAGAGTTGGGCTAAATCAACTTATACTTAAACTAGGTCATTTTAATGTGGATAAAATTCATTCCACTTTATTTGGTTTGTTCTAGGTACTTGATAATCTCCTAACTTGCACACCTCGCTCATTCTAATTGTGGTAACCTTGCGTAACTTTATCATGTGGTAAT